GCCGCGCTGGCGAGCAATTCCAGCCGTATGGCAAACGTTCATTCGGGGGAGCCTGGCCTGTACCCTGCCTTGCAGGGATAGCCCTGACCCTTCTGTGGGAATACAGGATCCTTCTGCCTCTGGAATGGGCTGCTGCTACCGGGAAAAAGTTTGGCTTTACGTGGGACGGGAGAGACGGTGTGCAGTTCACCAGCTCTCGTAACAGGCTGAACTTGGGACAGATGAATTAATCGAGGGACCAAGTAGCCGAGGGGTGTAAGTGCTGGTGGCTGCGCGGTGGGTACCTGCACCCGGTGTAGCTGCTGGTCTTTATTTCAGCTTTCTGCGCACGCCTTAGCTTCTGCGAGTGCGTTTCTTGGTACCCTTCACCGAGTCGCTCGTCTGCACTTTCCCATGAGCAGGTGAGTTCCTGAACGGCTTTTCTGTCCATCGGAATGATTTACAGAGCAATATGCTTACACTTCCCAGGTCTCTGAAGCTGAGCGTGGGGAGGCCTGAGGTGCTGTGCTGGGGACATCCAAGGAAAAACATGTGTTTGGCACAAGGGGAAAAAGGCAATGGAGTATCGGAGCTGCAGCCTGCCAAGTAAGTGGGGAAGTGAGGACTTGGGCTTTAATGGCTGCTGAAGATGGCACATTAATTTATACCGATGGAGAAGTACTTGACATCAGTGTTGGGGTGAATGAACATAACTTCTGTTGTGCTTATTTGTATTTTTATTTCTTTTGCTTTCTTTTCCTTCCTGGTCCCAAGATTTCAGTTATATATATATATAAAGAAGAGGCTGGGAACACAGGGGCAGTGTGATACCCTGAGAAAGTCCTTGGCTTGATGTAAACATTGCTTGGCAACAACTAAACCATCAGTGTGTTATCGATACTCTTCTCAAATCCCAGCCTCATACTAGCTACTGTGAGGAAAAGGAACTCTCTGCCAGCCAAACCCAGCACGGGCCGTGCAGCGCCTGCCCTTGCTGGTGCTGTGCCTGGCTCAGCAGCGGTTTGTGACATTACAGTCAGTATAGAATCATAGAATCATCATTATCTTTAGCATAGCAGGGACTGACCTCGGAGACAAAATAGAAGTGGCTGCCAGCCCTTGTTGGGGGGCTGCCCTGATGGGGGGGTGCATCTCCTCCCGTACGCCCCGCAGCTTGTTGCTCGGAGGAATATTTGAAACTTGTGAAGCCGGGACTGGTTTAGGGTT